ATATATATATATATACATACTGTATGTTGGTGGCTCTTGGGGAGGTGCGAGTCCGCACCGCGCATAACAATTGCACCTGTCAGTGTGGACCGCGGCAAAATTTATGACCGCAAATGTTCTGGTTGTAAACGGCCTGAGAGAGGAATGAAAAGCAAAACAGTGCAGCCGGAGTCTCGGCCTCTCAGAAGTGTAAAAGTGAGCGTAGGAGGAAGGCAAGGGAAAGAATTTCATACAACTCTGCCCATACAGAGGCCAGGGGCTTTATAAATGATGCCTCCATTCTGCCTGAGTGTGAGGCTGCAGCAACACACACACACCACAACACGCCTGACGCCGTGGAGCTGCTTTATTTTGGCTATAAAGTGGCAGAAAGGCGAAAATATGGAATCAAGAGGTTGATTGTTTTTTTGTTTTTTTTATTCGCATGTTGGCTGTGTTTAAGACGTGCGTAAAACGGATTTTTTTTCTTTGTTTTCGTCTTTGTTTACTGCATCAGGGCCTTGCTTTATTTGAAGTCCTGTCTTTCCAGCAGGACATGAGGAGAAAAAAAATCCCTGCACGTATTTAAATGGGTTTCTGCGTAAATAATGACGCGTCCAGGTTAAGTTAAAGCCATCCTTCATGTCCGTGCCTGCTTTCATGATTTAAGCCTCCGTGTGTGTGTGTGAAAGTCTGAGAGCGTTAATACACAGCCTTAATAACAAATCACTACTTTCACCTGGTTAGCACTGAGGCTGCGTTGTCTCTTCTGCTCTGCCTTCATTAAAGAAGTGTTACTCACCGAAATGTGCGCAGATCTCCTTTATTTCCCTCACAGATTCATCACTGCTCTGGCCTCGACCTGGAAAAGGAAACAAAAGTTCAGTCAAAATGTCCTTTATTTTGAAAAATTGAAATCGCAGCAAAACACACACACGAGCCTCGAATAAAACTGGAACAAAATAGTGAATAGTATTGTTGAAACTAACTTTAAAAAATCTACACCCCAAAAATAAAAAATGAGACGTACTGGACTATAAAATACTGAATAAACTGACTTTTTTTTTCTTTTCAGAAAGCCTTCTTTCATTGGCTCCAGGGTGAAAAGTGATGCATGTGCACTTTTATACAAAGAGCCAGGGCAAATATTTAGCAGTCATAAGCTGTTTTAGCTGACCCGTGGGTCATTCAGCATTAAGACAAAGTTTAATGAACAACGAGCACTTTGACTTTAAGAAGACTCGGCTCTCCAAAAAATTCAAAGCACTTTTTTGGAAACTGAGGAGAAGATGGAGCTGGAGTCTGAACCCGACGGCGAAAATCTCCGAACTAAACCTGGGGAAATGTTGTTGTTGGGTTTTT